CTCTCCGCACACTCACCGGACCTGGGCTAGGACTGGGTCTGGGGGCCGGGGTCCTTATTTCTGTCTGGTACCTACTTCTCGCCTGTGGAGGGCAGCCCGCTGTATCCGGGAGTCCATTGTTTTGGGCAGCCCCGGTCTCTAGCTCAGGCCTGATGGTGTGGGAGAAATGAAGGTAGGATAGGAGACGAGGAAAATTGTAATTTAAAAGTTGTACTTTTAATTAAAACTATAGCTTCAGGACATAAACCCAGGTAAAATTCTGTAAGGTTCTTAAAGCTCCGTTTATTCTCATGTGCAGATGGATCTTTTTGGCCTGCAAATAGAGCATGGTCTCTGCCAGCAAGATGAGCCTTTTCCTGTGGATGGGCTAGTGCTGTCACCCCATCACGAAGATGTGGCAGGCCAGGACCCCAAGAAGGGCAAGTGGCCCTGGCAGGTCAGCCTGAGGATCAGGTCCTGGCGCATCTGTAGAGGGTCTCCTGGTGTTGTGGTAGGTGCTGACCACAGCCTGCTGCATCTTCAAATGAGGGCCGCAGAGTTCTGGGGTCCTCAGACACCCCCAGCTTCCACTGCCCCGCAAAGGGTCAGAAGCCAGGCCCCACACAGTGAAAAGGGGAGGGGCTCCGCAGGCCTGGTTTCCTCAATAGAAAAACCACGTTGGAGGAGCTGGAGGCAATGAGAGTGGCAGAACGGGTGGCGAGGGAGGGCGGGCCATGCTGAGTATTGTGTCCCTGCGGTAAGAAAGTGACCAGTGCAGTCAGATAGTGCTCCAAAGGTGCCAGATTCAGCTTGGCCCATGGCTAAGAGGCCTTCAGGGCAAAGGACACAGGGATGCTGCCCAGGCTCCTTGCTCCTCCAGCCAGTTCTGGTACAGCGTCACGACGGGAGATCGCAGCATCACAGAACAGGCATGAGTGCGGCGATCTCCACCCTGAAGATCACAAACCATCCCGAGCTCTCAACAACGTGAAGACCGAAGACCACCTCACTCTCCTCCAGCTCCCCTACACTGTGAGTTTCGGCTCCTCCATCCACCTCATCTGTGTCCCTCCCCAGACCTGCCAGGTGAAAGTGGTGACCAGGGGCTGGGGGACCAAATGGGGCAAAGCCAAGGAAGGCAGTAAGTCATGAAGGCCGGGAGGCTGGGAGGCCGGGAGTGGACTAGGGCACAGGGAGCAGCTGTGTGCCTGGGGTGGGAGGTGGACACTTGGCTGGTGCGTAGAGAGAAGGAGGTGAGCAGCAGGCAGGGCAGAGGCTGCTGGCTGGCTGGGAAGACTCCAGAAATTGTGCTGAGGAATTCATTGCAATAATAATATTAGGGCTGGGGAGATGGCTCAGTGGAATAAGTGCTTCCCTGGCAAGCGCAAGGGCCTGGGTTCAATCCCCGGTTCCACCAAAAAAAAAAAAAAAAGAGTAATATTTGATGACAGTCATTTAGGAAAGTCATTTCTTCAAGAAGCTGTCATTACTCATCCAAAAGAAGCATAGTCTCCAAGTCTCCTCTGGTAGATTTGTGAGGCAAGATGGTGATTGGTTTGGAGTATTTTAGGTTCTGTGGGACATCCAGACTATTGGGTTCTCTCCAAGTGGATTTCTCCTCAGAGGTGGTCAGCTGCCTGCCAGTCAGAGCTGCTGCTCCTCAGAAGGACTTGCATGGTGAGTAGGGAGAACTCTGATCCTGGACTAGTGAACAAAGGGAGAAGACTTCTCTGCTAGGGAGGCTGCACGACCTCCTCCCACGGGAAGAGGCTGGGTCTGGCACCAGATCCAGGGGCTGTCTGTATCAGTCATTTGCCTATCACAGTACCCAACACCCAAAATTTTAAGGAAGACAGGATCATTCGACTCACAGTTTCTGGAGGGTTCAGTCCATGCCTAGCTGGCTTCATGGTAGAAAGAGCATGGAAGAAGGGCATGGAGGAGACCAGTTGGTCAGACCACGACTGCTTGGAAGTAGAGAGCAGAAGGAGAGCCAGGGACAAGGACCTGCGCTTCCAGGTCACCCACCAAGAGATCTACTTCCAAGCAGGTTTGCCTTCTGATAGAAGATTCAGCCATGAACTCATCAAAAGACAGATGCACTGTAAGTAGAGCTCCAAATGATCCAAGCCCTTTCTGAACACAGAGACTTTGGAGATAATTTTGCTCTAAACCAGAGCATTGTCCAAGAGCCTATGATCCTGTTCTAGATGTAAAGATGCTTTACTGGTGCCCAGGAGACACTACCATTACTCGTATAGATTCACAGAGTGGCACTTGGCTGGCTGTTGTTTCTTGGGCTGCCTCAGCCTTGCCGCTCCCTCTTCTGAACTATTCTTCCTTCTCCTGTCTTGATCTTGCCTTTTACCCCACCCTCTCCCATGTCGGCTATGGGCTATGGTCTCATCTTGGGTCAAATGGGGACAATACTCACTCTGTAGTGGGGTGCTGGGTGCTTGGGGGCTGCTGGCTGCGAGTGCAGATGTGCACACTGTGGGTCTTCTCCAGTGCAAGGGCTTCTGGTCCAGACGTTGCAGGAGGTGGGCTGATACCTCATCCTTTCCAAGGAGTGCAACAGGAAGCAGCCAGGAGCCACATCAGCTACTGGGAAGCTGGTCTTGAAAGGGGTGGTCTGTAGCTAACAGATCCAAGGAAAGAATGGCCACAGGCCTCTCGTAGGCTCAGACCTTAGTTATTTCCTGCCTTCTTAGTCTCCCCTTCCTGGAGATCCTTGGCCTGCTGACCTGGTCTGTGCTTCTAGGGCAGCACCAGGGTGTTAAAAGCAGGGTGGGCAGTGCCACCTGTGTCTCAATGGTTCAGTCCCATGTGGCATGCACCATGCCCCTGAGAGCACCAACCCTTATCATCTCTGCTCACCATGTCACAAGTCTGTGACCAGATGTCCCATCTCCTATCTGGATGTGGAAGGAGACAACCACATGTGGAAGGTGGCACCCAAGTCACCAGGGCACAGTCCCCTATGAGCGCCATGATGATTGCTGGGCCCGAGCCCAGCCCTCTGCACCAAGTTGCATCCAGAGAGGAACATGGGGCCAGGTCTTAGAGGACGAGCGCTGTTCTGCAAAAAAGAACACATAGGAGAGGGACCACCATGGACAGTGGCTCACCAGTTCCAGTGCTAAGGGCTGGTCCTGTCATCTCAGAAATGCCACAGAGGCCTGAGCAGGGCCTGGGAGTGAAGGAAGCGTCGGAGGAGGGGGTGGAGGAGGCCATGGGTGCTTGGTGGTGACATCCTGCTATTCTTTTTTCTCTTTGTACAGATACACTGGGGGGGGTATAGTCAGTCAGTTTTTAAAAAACGTAGGTGCAGCTGGGTGTTGTGAGCTGAGGGACCGCTCTGGCCAAGAGGACAGCCTGGGGGATACACCACCCTTGTCTTCTACCGCAAGTGGCTGATCACCATGGTGAACCACACAGCCTCTTTTTATTTTATTTTTGGTCTTTTTGAGACAGGTTTCACTATGCAGTTCAGGCTGGCATGGAACTCACTTTGTAGCCCAGGCTGGTCTCAAACTCTCAATGGTCCTTGCACCTCCGCCTCCCAAGTGCTGGGATTACAGGCTTGCACTACCACACCCAGCACATGCAGGCTCGAATCCAGTGATGCTGCTGATCTGACCCTTGTACCTGTTGTTGCTCCTGGCCTACTTGCCCCTGGTTCCAAGTCTCCTCCCCAGCTCTCCTCTGATTCCTTCCCTTGTGACCTGTGTTCAAGTTCCAGGTTGATGCAATGCCCCTGGGGTGCTCACAGTGCAGAAGATCAGGGGACTGGGCCTGCAAAGGGTCCCAGCTCTGAGTACTGGTCACTGCTTCTGCCATGCGTACATCAGGCCTGGCCAGAGACCCAGCATCCTGCCAGGGACAGCCTGGTGAGGCCTGCATGGACATCTTGGAGAACATCTGCAAGAGGACATACCCAGGAATAAATTATTAAGGTTCATAAAGACATCCTAAACTTCTGTACCCCAGGGCATAACTGTCACTGCACTCACGGAGCTCAATCTGTTGTGCTGGTGAGGTTTGTCCCCACCACTAGGATTTGCCTGGGGTCATCTGAGAAGGTGCCTGCTTGACTGTAGAGCTCCTGTCTCTGGCCTCTGGGCTCTTGGTGTCGCTGCTGACCACAGGGTCTGTGAGGGCTGTGCGGATTTCTGAGCCTCTTGTGTCCTGGTGTACGTTAATTTTATAGCCTTGAATGTTGGTTTGATTTTCCTTTTCTTTCACTTTCTAAGACTGGGGGTTGAACCCAGAACCTCTGCACTGAAGTACATCCTCAGATACTTCTCTGTTGAAGCAGGGTCTCTTGAATCCCTGATGCCCAGGGCTAGGTCCGAACTTAGGATCCTCCTGCTCAGAGAGCTGAGTAGTAGCGTAGTTCACAGTGCTGATTAGATGTTCCTGCACACACATCAATACCCAGAAAGCAGGGCTGACAGAGCCGGCTCTGCAGGAGAGGAAGCTTTTGGGAGAGACCTGTCCAGTCAGAGCTGGGAGGCTTCTGAGGGAAGCTGGGGGTCGGAGTCATCTCTGGGAGGATCCAGATTGTGGGGAGGCAGTGGGACCTGATCCAGGTGAACCTGTCTGCTGAGATGTGACCTTATGAGCCTGGGACGTGCCCCTGAAAATACGACTGTGGCGGAAGACCTGGGACCTGGGAGCGCGAGGAGCACTGGGCCGGTCCGGCAGGGGGCGCAGCCATTTCCCGGTGGCATCCACTTTCCGTCTCATGCAAATCCAGGAGAGCACCGGTATCCACAAGGAGGCGACACCGGGCTTTACCAGTGGGGGAGCGTGACACGAGGACGTGAGGTCCATGGCGTCCCTGGTCACTGGCTCCCTGTGCCTGCTCATCTGGCTGCTGCTTGTCGGGCCCCAGTTCAGCGTGGACCCTGGGGACAGTGCGGCGCCTCCCTCCCCGCATGACTCCCCTGCCCCTAAGTCTACGAGGCAAATGCCCGAAGACACGTTGAAACCAGAGGTCTTTCCCAAAGGTGAGGTCCTGTCGCTGCTCCTGAGGGAGCTTGGGGTCGAGCCCCGGGGCGGAGCTGAGGTCTGTGTGTACGGGGGTGGGGGGTGCTGTCTTAAGGTCGCAGAGGTGTCAGGGCATCCGAAAGGGAGGATGTGGCTCAGCCCTGAGCCCTGTCCCTTCACTGACCCGCAGCAGCCTGTGGCCAGAGGAGGATAGTAGGGGGACAGCCAGCAGCACAGCGGAAGTGGCCCTGGCAGGTCAGCCTGCAGGTTAAAGGGACACATGCCTGCGGGGGCTCCCTCATCAGCAGCTGGTGGGTGATTACTGCAGCCCACTGCATTGTCACGTGAGTGTTTGGGGACCTGGCTGGGACCTCTGTGTCACCAGGGCCTGGTCCCAGGGGATCCTTTTCTTCATCAGCTGAATTCAGTGGCAGCCCCAGCTAGGATGAGTCTTGAGGATTTGCATTTCTAGCATGTTCCCAGGAGAACCAGCAACCTCTGTGTGGGAGTCCAAGAGAGGAGGAAGGAAGGGCAGTGGATGGAAGGGGCAGGTTGGTGGCACTCCTAGGTTGGCAGAGGTGTGTAGACCTCAGGCTCCCTCCACAGCCATCAGGACTACTCGGTGAAGCTTGGAGACTCAAACCTGAGGCATGAAGCCCCAACGGCAGTAGAAGTTCCAGTCAAAGATATCGTTATACATCAAGACTACTCAGCCTTTGGTATAGCCTTTGGAGCAATCTTTAATGACATCGCGCTGGTGCTGCTGTCCTTCCCTGTGAACTACTCCACGCACATCCAGCCTGTGTGCCTCCCTGCCAAGTCCTTGCAGTTAGCCGCTGGTACACAGTGCTGGGTGACTGGATGGGGCAAAACACATGAAGACGGTGAGACAGGAACCAGCGCCCTGGGCGTGGTCCACACCTAAGGGGAGGGACACTTTCTAGCAGGACGTAGGGAGCAACTGAACCATTCTATGGGAATTTGTGTTGGATTCTCAGGCTTGGGGGATCTATGCAGGGTGCATTTTAGTTTGGGTAATGAGCTGTCCCTCAGCTGAAGCTGTCCCTTCCCAGAAGCACCAGCCTCAGTAGACAGGGCACTTCTTGTTTGTCAGAGGAGTCCAGGCAACCCTGGGTGAGACTCTCGGGGCCTCCTCTTCATTTTGTCCTTCGGGGAACCACGTGGCTGTGGGTCTGTGACCCTGCTCAGGAAAGTGCAGATGCTGCCCTGATACTCAGGACACCCTGTCACCCCTCCTTGTGGTACCTGGTGGCACCTGTTTGGTCATTCTTTCCCAGACTGGCCACACTTGCTTCCTTCCCCTGGGCTGCTCTTATTTCTGCTGTCTTAGTTTAGGGCTTCCTGCCCTCCTACATGCAGGTCTGGTTTGGACTCACTCCTTCCAGGGTCAGATGGGGACAGGAGCCAATGGGAGGAGGATCCCTATGTGGGGAGAGACTGCACTGAGAACCAGAGCAGGTCGCAGCCACTCTCGGGATCTTTAATGACATTGTGCTGGTGCTGCTGTCCTTCCCTGTGAACTACTCCATGCACATCCAGCCTGGGTGCCTCCCCGTCAAATCCTTTCGGTTAGCAGCTGGTACACAGTGCTGGGTGACCAGATGGGGCAAAACAAGTAAAGATGGTGAGACAGGAAGCTAGGTCTGGGAGGAGGCCACCCAGTGCCCTGGGCGTGGTCCATCTAAGGGGAACGTCCTGTGGAAGTCACACAAATCCACTCATCCCTATATTCTCTTTCTGTAGACCTGCCAGAAAACCTGCCGACTCAGCTTCATGAGGCTGAGGTAAACATAGTGGACCTTCAGAAATGTAATGAGGATTTACAGGAATTGTTGCACATGTTTAATAACGTGGTCAGTGAAGGGGGCCTTTGTGCTTATGGTGAAGGAAAGGACGCCTGCCAGGTCAGTGCAGGGGCCCCTTGCTGAAAGGCTGGGCATTTGTCCCCTCAAAAGTCCTTGTACCCAGTCAGGGATGCCTGGCTTAGCCTTACTCTCCCCACTTATCCATATTCAAGCGAAGGGAATGGGGAACAAGTGGCCAACAGCTCTCCTGGCTGTCCTGGTGCCATGGCCCCCAGGGGTGGCCCACTGCACACTGGTCCAGAAGATGCTGGGTACAGGGAGGTAGGGGGTAGCAGTGGGGAGGAGCTCAGGCTCCTGTTTAGAGCCCCCTCTTTGGCATACACAGTGCCCTTGGGTGACCACTTTGGTCCTTGTGATCCCCCTACTTTGGGTCCATTATCTTGATTATGTTCAGTGTTTAGAAGACAGAAATCTTGAATAGGAAGACAAATTTCTATTTGTTAATGATGTTCCATTTGGATATCTCAGCCACAGAGCCCCATGGCGGCAGGAGTCTGAGAAGCCCCTCATGTGCCCAGTGCCACACCATTCCGGTCCCTCAGGCTGTGTGCAGACCAGTTCTGCTCTTAGCATTTGTTCTTTTCTCTTTCCACAGGGAGACTCTGGGAGTCCTCTTGTCTGTGAATTTCAGAATAGGTGGGTACAGGTGGGCATTGTGAGCTGGGGCGTTGGCTGTGGCCACAGAGGAATTCCAGGAGTCTATACAGATGTCGCTTTCTACAAGGACTGGATCATGAAGCTAATGAGTCGGTCTACTCGCTGGGACACTGCAAGCCTCCTCATCCCATGCCTGTGTCTGCTTCTGTACCTGGTATCCTGGTGACGCTGCGGTCACCCTGCCCGCTCCCAACTCGTTAAAAGTAGTCTGTTTTCTGACTTACTTTTGTTCTACTGTCATGTGTTCAAGTTCCGGTTTGACCCTTCACCATGGAAACCCCACAGGGGAGCAGAGCAGAGAGATGGGGCCTGCAAAGAGTCCCATCTGATTACTGTCAGGTGCTTCTGTCATGGATCCACCATGCTGTGTTGGGCCTGAGGGAAGGGGGTAAAGCTGGGTCAAAGACAAAGAGTGCTGCCAGGGACAGCCTGGTGACACCCAGATGGACATCTTGGACAACATCTGGAAGCAGAAGCATTCCGCCCTGGAGCAAGCCCTAGACCTGGCCCTGGCAAGCTGTGCCCTGCGCCTGGGTGATGTCAGGTGGCTGGGGGGCTGGTGAGAGCAGCAGTAGACTTCACCAGGTCCCTGCAAGCTGCCAGGATGGGACTTCACGAAGGTCTCCGAGTCTGGGCTGGAAGACGTCCTCTGCACTCTAGGTTGGGTCCATCTGTGAGGAGACAGCCAGGGCACACCAGCCCCCCATGTGCACAGTCCTGTAGTGGCAGCGAAGAGCACCCCAACATGTGTAGGGAGGCTGTGGAGTGGGGAGAGTTCAGAGGGAAGCGAATAAATGCGTGGACGCGCCTGTGTGCCTCCACCTCCGCTCGCCTGGGGGTTGACAGGTGGAATGCTCTCTCCCCGGGACTGCTTTCCCCTGAAGCCAGGGAAGTTACTTTTGGTCTCCATGAATCTCAGGAAGAGACAGAGAGGAGGGGCAGTGTGTCCAGACCTGGTGGATCCTGCTGCCCGTGACCCTGTTGTAGCCACCAGCACGATATAGCCACCAGACTGCGGTGCTGTCACAGGGTAGCAGCCTCTGTAGTCAGGCACAGGAAGCACGAGGGACAGTGGCCAGGGCTGGGTGCATTCACACTGTGGTGTGCTCCTCCCTGCCTGCTTTGGGTATGGCCTGAGGTACCCAGGGAGCTAAAGGCTGGGCCCGAGAAGCAGGCTGGGTGGGAGGGCTTGCTCTGGCACACCGGTGTGTCACGCACCTGTGCTGTCCATCGCTTCTTCCCACTTTCACCCAAGAGCTTCAGAGCCCCCCGGGATGGCAGCCGATCATGCTGTAGCCGTTGTCTCCTGCACACCCACTGTTGGGCCAGTACTGTGCTTTCCACCAACCAGAGGGCCTCTGCCTACCCGCTATGCGAGGGAGGCCAGGCCAGGATGCTGCTTTTCAAAAGTGAACTGCTCACAGCAAGCCTGGGAAGGCCTAGGGCAGCGGAGAAGCAGCTAAGAGAGCGCAGTCATGTTCCTGGTGCTGGGCATGGCTGGCTGGTTTCTCCCTTACAATTTGTGCCTGCTAGGCAAAGTGGATGGCCCAGGGCACGTGTGGTGCTACACGGGTGCCTCTGGTCATGCAATGCTGTACTCGAGTGCTTTTATGGTATCGGGGAACAGGATTCAGCTGAAGCCCCTTGGTTCCAGAAGAAACCCCGTGGATGTTTCCCCAGAGAGCAGCACTCTAGGCCCAAATGCATGTTAGCATTTTCCCCTTTTTCATCAGCATTCTGGGTGACCTGGAATGTGTCAGGCAGTGGCATGGTGCCACAAGTGCCCAGCAGACCTCAGCCATGGAAGGCCACCCCAAAAGGACTCGTAAATTAGGGACTTGATGGCGGGTAGAACCGGGGTCTGCAGCAGAGCTGTTCCTGCAGGAGGAGAGGACCCAGTGACAGGCAGTGAAATCTGAAAACACTGGGCCTAGAAATGTTTAAAAGGAAACCAAAATTGAACGGACCAACCAACCCAACCCCAACTCATCCTGAAGGGCTGGTGACCAAGCCGTGAGCATTTCTAGAGCCCAAGCTGCATTCTGCAAACACCACTGTCTCCAAAAAGCGATCAGGAGACCTGGTTTGAGAAAGGCATGACTGAGGGGCAGACTGTGTATAACAGGAGCCCCACACTGCAGGGGGCCCCAGAGCGCCTGGGAGCTGCTGCAGACCAGGCAGATCCTGTCCACAGCAACAGGAACCCACTGCGGAGGACTCTGCCCTGGCGGGAGGTGGGTGGTGGCCCTGCTGGAGGTCACATGCCCTAGAGATCACCTGCCTCCCCACCTCTGAGGATGCTGCCCTCCAGCTGCCCTCAGAAGAGCGCTGGGTGAACACTGGGCAGCAGGGGGTCTTGCTGTGACAGGTCCTCTCCTGGGTGGCATAACCACAGTGCACTCCCGTCATTTCTTATTCCAGAACATTTGTTTTTTGTTGTTGTTTGTTTGTTTTTGTATTTAATATAGGGTGTGCTGGGTCTCACTACACAGATCAGACTCATAGTGATCCTCCTATTTTTAGCTTCCCAAGAGCTGGGATTACAGGATTGCGCCCCCATGCCCAGTTTCAATTGCCATCATAGCAGGCCCAGGGGCTGATCTGGCACTGCATGCAGGGGACTGAACCCGGCCCCTGTGCTTGCCTAAGCAGGTGCTTAGTCCGCTGAGCTATCTTGCCGGCGCTACATTTAGTTTTAACTAAATTCACCCTTAGATTGGCCATTTTGGGGATTGAGCCAGGGTTGTTGCACAGAGCCACATTCCTTGCTGTTGTGTCATATATTTTCAATTTTGGCACAGGCTCTTGCTGTGCTGCCCAGGCTGGCATCCACGTGGCATCCTTCAGCCTCAGCCTCCCCCAGTGCTGCGGTTAAGGGCATGCCTGACCCTGTGTCCTGCTCTGAAAAGTTTTCAGTGCCCAAGTTAGTGTACACAGTGCTTTGGGGATCTCATGGAAGCACACAGAGCCCTGGAAACCTGGATGTCTCGGGAGCATTTGCGGCTGCCTGGGGTCCAAGCGTCCGATGCTGTGCCTGCTTCCTTGAGCTGGGCTGCTGCCGTCTAGGGTCCTCCTAGCCATCTCTTTGCTATTACCGGCTTTGCAGTGTTGTGTTTGCTGGTGCTCTGCAGCTTCTAAGCCCCCTGAGAGTCCTGCTGAAGTCCCTCCGCTGCTCCCAGAGCAAGAAGGCAGCGTGCACCTCAAGGAGGAAACAGGCCTGCTCCGGGGAGCTTGTGGGAGCAGCTTCACAGGCCCAGGGTTCGGGGCTGCTCCCATAAGTACACTGTCCTGGCGCGACAGGCACAGCAAGGTGTGTTGAAGCACAGGGAAGCCACGTGAAGGGCTGGCTCCATGGCGGGAATGCTCTGAGCACACAGTTGGAGAGACCAAGCTGGCCTTTCCCCTGGAGCAGGGGTGCCGCGTGTGCTGATGGGTGCTGGCAATGACTTTATCTGACGACCTGCTGGGCAGGACATGATTTGCCTGTGTCCTGCCCATGTTATCCAGGTCCCTTCTGCTGGCCACAGGTGTGGCCTTCCCTGAGGGTCACACTGAGGTGGCCTTGCTCTCGAGTGAGCAGGTATCTGTGGCTTCTGTCTGTCCGGGCTCTTGGTTCTGCAGTTCTGAGACACGCCCCCTCTCCCCGCCACCCCTACAGAAGCCTCTGGGTCTTGCCATGAGTTCACTGTGCCTGCTAGGGTTGAAGCGTCCTTGTGAGGCTTCTCAGCACTGAGATGAGGAGCTCTGGGACATCCAGGACAGCCCGTGCTCCCCACGTGCTGCCTAGCGATCCCCGGATGCAGCACAGACTGAGAAGCCAGACTGTCCTATCACAGCCTCAGCCCAGCCGGTTGCACATGCCGCACCCTTGTACTCTCCACACTTGGCTGCCGCCACGCGGGGGCGCCAGCCAGCACAGGAACCTGACCATGGCGGTGTTGCCAGGCCGCCTCCTGGGCCTCCTGGTCTGCATCCAGCTCCTTCAGTCTGCGCTTAGTGAGGCCCGGAGACTGGGAAGGGATGGGGACTGCTAAACTGGGAAGAAAGACAGAATGAGAAGAAAGGGGGGGCGGGGAGAAGGGAGAGGAGAGAGACAGGCAGGGGAGGAAGGGGGAGGGGCGAGGAGAGAGGGGGAGGGGCGCTTCCACCCTCGGCCTTCCTCATCTACAGGTGTGAGTCAGGGAATGACGGCCAAGGGGGGAGAGACCCCGCAATCCCTCCCTGCGCCAGATGCGGCCGTGGACCCAGAGCCTCCAGCCCCCGAAAGGCCCCGCGTATCAGGGACTACTTTGGTGTCCACAGTGGGAGATGACGTGGGGTCCTGGGAGAGCTCTTCCCAGACAAAGAAAGAGCTGTTTCCTCGAGGTACATCTTCAGGGCCCCGATGTGCAGGCCTGCCTGGGACCTCAGGGGGTGCAGGAACACGGGTGGGCAGGCCAGGACCATCCTGAGGATCATGTCCTCTGTCCTGTGAGCCTCAGCCGGGTGAGGGATGTGGTGGGAGGCCGGTGGGCTCACTTCCAGGCCCTCTGTTTCCGGAGCCCTGCAGTGTGTGGTAACAGGAGCTCGCGCGTCGTGGGTGGAAGGCCGGCCCCCAAGAGGAAGTGGCCCTGGCAGGTGAGCCTGCAGGTCAGCAGCAGGCACGTGTGCGGGGGCTCCCTCATCAGTAATCTGTGGGTGATGACTGCGGCGCACTGCATCCAAGGGTGAGTGCTAGGAACCCCATGGTCCCCGTGTTCATGATGTTAAGTGCTTTTCCTCTTTTGCAAGAGTGGGTGGCAGTTTGGGGTGACCCTGACTGTTGGTTTGTATTTGCAACTGTTTCCTTGGGCACTATAGTGGTGTCAGGGTCCAATAGGGGAGGTGGGCAGGGCTTCTGGCTAGTGGGAAGGGTGGGGCCAGGCTGGGCATTGCCCAGAGGTGTGGGAGGGGAACAGGTGCAGACCTCAGGCTCTTGCAGGGCACGGCAATACACGGTGAAGCTGGGAGACATTCATGTGAACCACCTGGCCCCAACGGCGGTCGCAATCCCAGCCAAAGACATCGTGGTCCACCAGGAGTTCTCTTTGGCCTGGATTATCCAGCACGACATCGCCCTGGTGCTGCTGGCCTACCCTGTGAATTTCACTGAGTACATCCAGCCCGTGTGCCTCCCTGAAAAGCCTTTCCAGGTGGAAAATGGGACACTGTGCTGGGTGACTGGCTGGGGCCGAGTGCTGGTGGAAGGTGAGCGTGTCCCCAGAATGGCCTGATGGGGGAGCCTGGTGAACCCAAGCTGCAGGGAGGTCCCAGCAGGGGAAATCACAGGGGGCAGGTGAGGGGTCTGAGAGGACAGGACAGTGTGCTCCAGCCAGGTCTCCAGTGTGTTCGCAATTCCAGGGCTGAGGCGAGGGGTCTGGTGGGTTGCCTCCTAGGCAGATTTAAGCTCAGGGTGAGGGCTGTCACCGCTTTGAGGTGTCTCTAACCACAGAGAAGTGACAGATGCTTGGTTGTTCTGTGGTCTGGCGAGGCCTGCAGGCCCTCCTCTGTCTATTTCTTCTTAGCTGTGCCGTCCTCACTTTTGTGTCTTACCTCTGCCCTGTCCATACCAGTAACGGCTGAAGTATGACTTCTTTGTCCAGTGGTGACATTCACACCTAGCCCTCCTTGGTGGCCCCTGGAGTGCAACCACTCTCAGGACTCGGTGTGGACACTGTCGCTGCTTTTGGACCCTGGGAGCGCATGCACTCATGCCTCTCTTCCCTCTCAGGGATCTTGGTTCGACCATACTGCCTTCAAGAAGCAGAGCAGTATATTTTCTCCCGGGAGAGATGTAATGAGAAGATACGGAAGGAGCTTAGGAGCCCTGTGAACTATGTGCATGAAAAGATGATCTGTGGTTACAACGCTGAGGACCGGGGTCCTTGCAGGGTCAGTGCCTGGGGCAGCACCAGGGGGTTGAAAAGTGGGTAGGCAGTGCCTTCCATGCCACAGAATTCTCCAGGTGGTGTGTACCGGGCTCCTGCAAATACCAAGCCTTATTCTCTCTGTTCACTGAGTCTCAGATTTATGAGCAGACACCTCACCTCCTATTCCGATGTGGTAGGTAGCCCCCAACTCACTGGGTCACAGTCCCCTTATGAGCACCTCTGAGCCTGAGCCCTACCCTCTGCACCAAGCTGCACTCCAGAGAGGAACCCCGAGCACATCCTAGCAGATGAGTGAACATGTGGCAGAGGGAACTGCATGGACAGTGGCTCAAGGTCCCAAGGCTTAGGGCTGGTCCTGTCATGTCAGAAATGCCACTGAGGCCTGAGCAGGGCCTGGGAGTGAATGAGGCATTGGAGGAGGTCCTGGAAGTCGGCTGGGCTGAGGGAGGCCCTCAGTTTCTTTCTGAGATGCTGGATAGTGGGGTCAGGGGGGTACATTTGGGAAGGCCAGTGTGGAGCCTGACTTAGTTTTTTTTTTTTTTTTTTAATAATTCTATTAAGAAACAAATAGCAATGAGAAAGTTTCAAAACCTATTAGTAGGGGAGTTTCAATAATGAATACATTGCATATTGTTGTCTTCTTGGAGCCTGATTTAGAATGGAAGATTTGGACTACGTGGCCATTGGAGGTGTTGATGCCCATGAGTGACAGACCTAGATCCGTGGGTCTGGGCAGGGCACTGTTTAGGGTGAAGCGCAGCATTTCAGAAATCTCCATGCAGTGTTGATACCCTGCATGTTCTTGGAGGCCAAGCCTGACCACGAGAACAGGCGCTGGCTGGAAGCGGGGTGGGCTCAGGGTGGCCAATTTGGTGAGGGCAAGGTCCTGGCAGATTCCCAGGAAGTCTCAGAAGCGGCCATGCCGGGATAGTCTTTGGTATTCCCTGTTTCCCTGTGTCCTGTACCTGAGTCCTTGGTGCCCAGAGACTGGGGCATGCACGTTTTCCCATCCACTTCTCATCTTGAACATCTCATATTCCCAGAAGTGGGGCCTAGACAGGGCCTTGAGGGCCTGGGGAACCCAGCCACCCCCCTGTCCCTGGTGCCATGCAGGGGCCCAGCTTGCTGTGCTGTGGATCAGTGCTGCCATGCCACTGGTTTTTTTTTTTTTTCTCTGTAGGGAGACTCAGGGGGCCCGCTGGTATGTGAAATTCATGAAACATGGGTGCAGGTGGGCATTGTGAGCTGGGGCGTCGAGTGTGGCAAGGAGGCATTTCCCGCTGTCTACACGGAGGTCATCCAGTACAAGGAGTGGATCAAGCGTGTTCTAAGTCAGGTCCCCTGTGTGGACCCCATGGGGATGTACCTCTCACTGCTGTGTCTGCTGCTGCACCTGGCATTCTGGTGACCCTGTAGGCATCCTGCCTACTGCCCCAGTTCTGAGTCTCCCTGTAGACCTCTCCTCTGACCTCCTTTCCTTCCACTCCCCTGTCTTCAAGTTCTGGTTTCGCCAATCACCCCCGGGGATCACATAGTGGACCAGAGCAGGTAGAGTGGGCCAGCAGAGGGTCAGTTCTTGAGTACTGGACCCTGGTTCTGCCACGCCTAGACCAGGTTGTGCTGTGCCTGGGGGAAGGCGATGAGGCCGGGTCAGAGTCCGAGCATGCTACCAGGGCAGCCTCATGATGCCTGGGTGAACATCTTGCACATCTGCAAGCAGAGATATCCCCAGCCACGAAGTGAGCTGTCGACCTGCCCTTGTGCTAGACTGTATCCCGAGCCTGGGTGATGTTAGGTGGCTGGGGTACTGGTAAGAGAGCAGTAGACGTTACCAGGTCCCTGCAAGGTGCCAGGATGCGACTCCTATGTGGGTCTCTGATCCTGGACCTGCAGAAAACCCCTGCACCCAGCCATGGGTCCATCTGTGAAGTGACAATCTGGGGCACACTCGCAGTCCTGTGGCTGCATCCAAGGACACTCCAAGTTGTGTTGAGGCCATTTCACAATGTGGAGATTTAGGACTGAACCAATAAATGTTTGGAGAATATGCCATGTGTCCTGCCTTGTCCCTGTCTGGGGGTGGCGACCTTGGAAAGAACTGTCTTCTCTTTAAGTCTAGGAAAGCTGCGCCAGGTCTGCAGTTTACCTCACTGTATGAAATGAGGGTGGCTTCAGGCTGGCGGGTTCTGTCCCTGGGCCGTCATATCCATCCAGGCTGCTGCTTGGACCCCCACAGCTGGCTTGCCCTCTTGGCATCCTGGGAGCAGCAAGGCAGGGCTCAGGCAGCTGCACTGCAGGGGCGACTTCTGCTGACTCTCGTGGGAAGCCTGGAGGAGCACAGAGTAGCTGAGATCCAGCTCCAGGGAAGACCAGGGCTCAGGGGAAGGAGACAGTAGACTAGGGAGTTGGT